TTAACTCAGAACCAGAACTAGTTCCTGATAACTCTTTCAATTACTGATCAATAACGACAGGCTTCTGTTATTGTGCTTTCAGATCAATATTCATGATTTGACTTTGGACTTTATATCTGAGTCATAAACTCACTGACAGCCTGGAACTGATTCATGTTTCTGAAACTCTGCAGCTTTTAAACTTCATTCAACTCATGACGTCACACAAAATGGACTTTAGTTCATTTACATATGAACGACCTGATTCATGCTGTCATTTCGGTTTATTAAAACCGAAATGACAGCATGAATCATGTGTGTTTTTCGTGTTTTTCTCGCGAGAAAAACACGAATTACCGCGAAACTCGCAAGAATCTGGTAGTAAACACAAGAGGCTGAAACGATCTGAGATTCTTATTAGTGGAACAAAACTTTAGGTTTAAACCGCAGACTGACCTGTGACCTCCATGCAGAGGAAGAGCTGCAGCAGCAGCAGCAGCACCTGCTGCAGCAGTTTGCCTCCAGGTGAGTGAAGCGCAGCAGGAAGTCGCTCTGGTTTATGCAGCAGGTGCTGCAGTTCAGTCTGTGACCCGCAGGGGGCAGCAGCGCGCATTGCTCTGCACCTTGAACAGCAGCCCGTCTTTACGTCAACTGCGTAAGCTTTACGGCAGCTTGACTTCCAGCACATTGAATGTGACGTCATTAAGATATGGAAACCAAATGGATAAACATTTAATAAATGACTGAAAGTGTTTTTGAAGCAGGTTTTCAATGTTTCCATTGTGTCTCCATGACAGCCAGGGTCACACAGGTCACAGGTTATGACCTCTGACCTTTCTGCACAGGCCCAGTAATGACACCAAAACAAGTGATTTCCAGAGGTCAGTCACCTCTTCATCATAATACTAAACCCTCACTCACTCAGGTAACAATTATAACACCTATAATAATACAATATGTGACTCATTTTCTTTCTTCACTTTCTTGCATAAAAAGTCAATAATAAATGATGTGAAAAATGATTTGATGACCTGAAAATCTGGCAGCAGGTCTGGCTGCTCACTGTGAATCTGTTTGTTCAGATAAATGAAATATGAAGAGACTCAAGAAAAAGAAACTTCACCTTCCAGGCATTTTATGGAATTATTTTATATTGTTCTGTAATTGTTATTTAATGCAACATTTCAAATCCTCCTAAAACTGTTTAAACACTCAGACATTTTAATTACATTATAAAATAAAGCCAGATTTCCTCTTGATGTCAGAAATGCAGAATCTGAAGAAACATATTTTATTTTCTTGACCGACCAGAACCAGCAGCCTGTTGACCCAACAGGACTGAGAACGTCGTTCTGATGAGGTGAAACGTCACCAGACGTCTTCTCTGGTCCGGGTCCGGTGTTCTGACGGAGACGCGGTCTGAACCGCCCTTCCTGTTGATACCTGGACTCTCCAGAACTAAAGGTTTATCTGACCTGGAGGAAATACGTCTAGAACAGATGAAACCAAAGCGAACAGCAAAACAATTCAACTCAAACTGTGGGAAGCTCTTCAGCCAACTGCTTCCTCAAAACATATATTTCCTCTTTAGGGATGTTCTTTTCCTTAGGACATATTTTTTTCTGGTGACCTGTTGACCTGCAGACTGGCTGCAGTCTCTGCCTGGCATCTTTAAGGGACTCAGTCTGACAAAGCAGGCGGCCATGTTTCTTATCTTCGAGGCGTCGCCAGCTGCTCCCTCAGACTTCAGGTCATATCCACCGGCTTTGGAGTTTGACGGCAAACTTGAGGAGCCAGATTCCTCTCGGTCGGAGTCGGAGTCCTCCTGCACAGACCTGCTGCTCCAGGAGCCCCGAGTGATGGAGGAGTGCTGGGGGACGATGGAGGGATTGGGACGACGGAGGGATTGGGGACGATGGAGGGATTGGGACGACGGAGGGATTGGGGACGATGGAGGGATTGGGGACGACGGAGGGATTGGGGATGGAGGGATTGGTGAAGATGGAGGGATTGGGAACGATGGAGGGATTGGTGAAGATGGAGGGATTGGGGACGATGGGGGGATTGGGGACGATGGAGGAATTGGGGGCGATGGAGGGACTGGGGAAGATGGAGGGATTGGGGGCGATGGAGGGATTGGGAACGATGGAGGGATTGGGGAAGATGGAGGGATTGGGGGCGATGGAGGGACTGGGGAAGATGGAGGGATTGGGGGCGATGGAGGGATTGGGAACGATGGAGGGATTGGTGAAGATGGAGGGATTGGGAACGATGGAGGGATTGGTGAAGATGGAGGTTGGTGAAGATGGAGGGATTGGGGGCGATGGAGGGATTGGGGAAGATGGAGGGACTGGGGACGATGGAGGGATTGGGGACGATGGAGGGATTGGGGACGATAGAGGGACTGGGGAAGATGGAGGGATTGGGGGCGATGGAGGAATTGGGGGCAATGGAGGGATTGGGGACGATGGAGGGACTGGGGAAGATGGAGGGATTGGGGGCGATGGAGGGATTGGGGACGATGGAGGGATTGGAGTAGATGGAGGGATTGGGGACGACGGAGGGATTGGGGGCGATGGAGGGATTGGGGACGATGGAGGGATTGGGGGTGGTGGAGGGATTGGGGACGATGGAGGGATTGGGGACGATGGAGGGACTGGGGAAGATGGAGGGATTGGGGGCGATGGAGGGATTGGGGAAGATGGAGGGATTGGGGAAGATGGAGGGATTGGGGGCAATGGAGGGATTGGGGACGATGGAGGGACTGGGGAAGATGGAGGGATTGGGGGCGATGGAGGGATTGGGGAAGATGGAGGGACTGGGGACGATGGAGGGACTGCGGGTGGTGGAGTGTTGGGGGACGATGGAGGGATTAGGGACGATGGAGGGATTGCGGGTGGTGGAGGGTTTGGAACCTGACAGCGGCACTGGGTGCTGTTGGGCCACCAGTCTGGAGACCACCAACCACCTCAGCTTCATGGCGTCCTGCAGAGAGGCGGTGCACAGATTGGCCTGAAGCCGGCGAGCAGCAGCTGTGCCGACCCGTTTTCCAGAACCCTTCATCAGGGTGGATTGTGCCTGAATAGGAACAGCGGGTGAAGGTCAGTGTGAAGGTCAGGGCCGAGGCGAACAGGCAGCCAACTAGAGGATGCACCACAGCGCAGCGATACTTACACAGTCGGCCATGATGGACCTGATTAGCGTGAAATTGATCTTGCCGCTCAGGCCCATCTCTGCCCATGCTAGCTTCACATAGCGGTTTATCTTTCTGAAGTTCTTTGTCCCTGTGGTGAACAGGGTGTATTTGCTGGTGCTTCCCCGCTGTGCTTTGATGGCCACGAGACGTTCGATCCAAGAGAACTCCCGGCAAGTCAAGGCGAGGGCAGACTCACCGGACCGGGGCAGCGTCTGCTGCTCGGCCACCTGGAGGAGAGAGAGGTCAATCCTGTGCGGCCCGCCTCGGTACAGAGGCGGCGTGAGCCGACCTCCATCTACATACCCTGATCAGGATACCCTCCTCTGTCATCTCCTTCTCCGCCTTGGAGACGTCGGCATCCGTTAAGGCGGTGAACATTCTGGGCCGGAGTCCGCTGAGACAGGCCCAGTACGCCGCCAGGAAGCCGTACAGCAAGTAGAGGCTCCGGGTGGCACTGCAGTCTGACTCTACGTCCGCTGGTACAATGAAGAGATTGACCAGAGGTTGGCCAGAGGTCAGCCAGAGGTCAGCCAGAGGTCAGTCAGAGGTTAGCCTGAGGTTGGCCAGAGGTCAGCCAGAGATTAGCCAGAGATTAGCCCGAGGTCAGCCAGAGGTCAGCCAGAGGTTAGCCAGAGGTTGGCCAGAGGTCAGCCAGAGGTTAGCCCGAGGTTAGCGAGAGGTTAGCCAGAGGTCAGCCAGAGGTTAGCTAGAGGTCAGCCAGAGGTTAGCCAGAGGTCAGCCAGAGGTTAGCGAGAGTTCAGCCAGAGGTTAGCCAGTGGTCAGCCAGAGGTCAGAGAGAGGATAGCCAGAGTTTAGCCAGAGGTCAGCGAGAGGTCAGCCAGAGGTTAGCCAGAGGTTAGCGAGAGGTCAGCCAGAGGTTAGCCAGAGGTCAGCGAGAGGTTAGCCAGAGGTCAGCCAGAGGTTAGATAGAGGTCAGCCAGAGGTTAGCCAGAGGTCAGCCAGAGGTTAGCGAGAGGTCAGCCAGAGGTTAGCCAGAGGTCAGCCAGAGGTCAGCGAGAGGTCAGCCAGAGGTTGGCCATACGTTAGCCAGAGGTCAGCCAGAGATTAGCGAGAGGTCAGCCAGAGGTTAGCCAGAGGTCAGCCAGAGGTTAGCCAGAGGTCAGCCAGAGGTTAGCCAGGGGTCAGCCAGAGGTTAGCCAGAGGTCAGCCAGAGGTTAGCCAGAGGTCAGCTAGAGGTTAGCCAGAGGTCAGCCAGAGGTTAGATAGAGGTTAGCCAGAGGTTAGCCCGAGGTTAGCGAGAGTTCAGCCAGAGGTTAGCCAGTGGTCAGCCAGAGGTCAGCCAGAGGTCAGCCAGAGGTTAGCCAGAGGTCAGTCAGAGGTCAGCCAGAGGTCAGCCAGACGTTAGCCAGAGGTCAGCGAGAGGTCAGCCAGAGGTCAGCCAGAGGTTAGCCAGAGGTTAGCCGTAGGTTAGTCAGAAGTCAGTCAGAGGTCAGCCAGAGGTTAGCCAGAGGTTAGCCAGAGGTAATTCACAGGTCATCAGGTGAGAAACGGTAAGCGGAGCAGAGACCCACCCAGCAGGTTTTCCACCCGGCTTGGAGCCAGCCAGAGACAGGCGGCGATGGCGTCCGGACTGGACAGCTGCTTCATGCTGAGCGGCTTCAGGTTGGACACGTTTCTGCCGCCCGTGTCCCTCCTGGCCTCCAGGATCTGGAGGATTTCAGCCGCCTGCGTCTGAGCGGCTGTAATCCGGGGGCAGCGCTGGGGCCGAGCGGCCTGCAGGTACTCCAGGAACCAGCAGGCGCTGCTGAGGTAGGACCGGACCGTACTGGACTTCTTCCCTCTGCTGAGCATCAGCCTGATCCATCTGAGACAGAGACAGAGACAGAGACAGAGACAGAGCTGCTTGGTTTGGCTAAATGAATGTAGCTGCTCTTTTATTACTGTGAATTCTTGGATAATTAAAATACACATAATACATTTTGAGATGATATTCTTGATTATTTTTATTAGATAATGAGTTTATTAAACTTGCTGAATAGAATTAAGTCACATAATTATCCAGTTTATTGTGTTAAACTTTGTTTTTGGTAGAAGGTCAACGGTATGTGAGTCACTGCACTGTAAAAAAGGAACCTCAGGGGTTATTACATTAACAAAAGAATATCATGAACTGTTAACTAAATAATTCCATGTTTGAGTCAAAAACATGATACAATCATGTTGCATAAACAAGATATTCCACAACTTCACGTTTATAAAATGTAATCATGTTGAGCGAACATGATTCATTATAGTCAGACTGATATTGTGCTGAAGACAACGAGTGACAACTGGACTAACGTGATTGAATGACGTTATCTCAACTTGAATACATCTAATTAACATATATATACCCACCGCGGTGGTTCTTATCCTCTGAGCCTCGACCAGAGGATATATAGATATAGATCTATATATATATATATATATCTATATATCCTCTACCAGAAGCCTGGGAGCTTGAGGGTCCTGGATAACCATATATATATATATATATATATATATATATATATATTATATATATATATATATATATATATATATATATATATATATATATATATATATATATATATTCAATTAGTCAAAGTGAATCTAATCAGCTCTATTGTGTCAGAATCATCTGCCGCCTCCAAAGGCTGATATAAATACAAACACAGCTCTTAAAGACTTTATATCAACCTTTGGCCTGATTGATGTATGGAGACAAAAAATAGCTCAAAAATTGAATTTACATGGCAAAACAAATCGAGCTCCTTTCAATCAAGAATTGACTTTTGGTTGATATCTGATTTAATAACAGATGAAATTAAGTCGGATATTCTACCAGCTCCTTTATCAGATCACAAGCTAATTTTGATTGAAAAAACTAAATTAAATAAATAAAATTATAGCTTACTGGAAACTCAATTCGTCACTGTTAGAAGATAAAACAGTAGAAGAAAATATTAAACTAACAATTATTAAGTATTGTAATACAGCTTGTAGCCAGAAGGAATTTAGTAAAAACTGGGAACTCCTCAAATATAAACTTCGGAAAATTTTTATGAAAACTGGAGCTGAATTTGCTAAAAAAAAAAAAGAGGAAAATAGAATCAGAAATAATAAAAGAAATTATCTCTTTAAATAATGTTCTACTAGAAAATATATCTGAAGAACAAAAAATTAGATTAAACCATTTACAGTTGAACCTGGACAATATTTACATATCTAAAGCTAAAGGAGCCTACGTCAGGTCGAGACAGAAATGGTTAGAAGAAGAAAAAAACTCTTCTTATTTTTTTAGGTTAGGAATAAAGCACCAAAAGTCTAATAGTATTATGAAACTTCAAATTAATAACAGTATAACTCAGTGCTTCTCAATTATTTTCCGTTACGCCCCCCTAGCAAGAAGAAAACTATTCGCGCCCCCCACTCCCCACCTGACTATCCATCTCTGCATAACATTTTTTCCTTATTAACATTTTTTTTCGCTGAAAAAACTCTAGCGGCTTATCGGCGTGATTGGGATGTAACGTATTTAAGTGACGCGCTAATTTATTTGGCTTCATGCTGTCCGCTGCGAGCATTTTTAGACACAGCAAACACAGCGGTCTTTCCTCTTCTCCAACTGTAGTCACAGTGAAGCCAAGCGCTAAATACGCTTCGTCGTATTTCCTCTTCTTAGCTTTCGGTTGACTTTCTGTTGTCTCATTATCTTTGTCTCTCTCCGCTTTTCTTTTCATCCCTGTGAAAAACTTTTTCATGTTGGGGGTTGTTGAATAACGGAGGCCATAGACAGAACGCAGTCGGAGCTTTTTGTTGACTTAACACTGCTAACCAAGGCAAACCTGTTGTCTTGTAAGTCATAAAATGTTGCACTGTCGCAAACGTGACAGAAGTAACAATGAGAGCGCCACTGCCGCCTACTGTGCGCAATTACACTTTATACTAGTACGGCCAAAAAAAGCCTGTTCCCCAGGATCACACGCCCCCCCAGGTATCGCACCGCGCCCCCCAAAGGGGGCCCGCCCCACTATTTGAGAAGCACTGGTATAACTGAAGATCCTGTTCAAATCTCTTCTTATTGTGAAACCTTTTTCAAAGAGTTGTATCAGTCACGGTGTTCTGATGAAACTATTACACTATTTATTAACTCGATGAATAATATGCATCAAATCAGTAAAATTAATAAAGACCATTGTGATTCTTTGATCACTCTTGAAGATATTCAAAAGTCTATCAATAAATTAAAATTAAATAAATCTCCAGGGACAGATGGTCTCAATGCAGAGTTCTATAAAAAGTTTTCAGAGCAATTGTCGCCATTTTTACTTCAAGTTTATCTTGAAAGTTTGGACTCTGGATCACTTCCACCTACAATGACCCAACGTCTAATTACACTGATTCCTAAACCACAAACAGACAAGCTTCATCTAGATAATTGGCGACCAATTACATTACTACAAAATGATTATAAAATTATTGCAGGTTGCATTGCTACAAAAATTAAGAATACTCTTGAAGAAGTGATTGATGAAACTCAATCTGGATTCATTCCGGGTAGACATATAACTAACAATATTAGACTTATAATGGATTTGCTAGATTATTCAGATTTAATTCATATTATTTCTGGATTTTTTTAAAGCCTTTGACACAGTGGAGCATACATTTTTGTTTAAGGCATTAGAGGTATTTGGATACGGACAAATCTTCATTAAAAGCTGTCAAATGTTATATAGGAATTGCAATGCGTCTATAAAATTGTCACATGGCTGCTCTAAAAGATTTGATTTGAAAAGAGGTCTCAGGCAAGGATGTCCAGTATCTCCATACTTATTTATTCTGGCCATGCAAATTCTTTCTATCAAAATCAAAGAAAAAATAACAGGGATTAATGTTGCAAACAAAAATATTGTAATCTCTCAACTCGCTGATGACACTGCACTTTTCTTAAAGAGTAAGTGCGAAATAAAAAAATCTATTGAAATTATCAACACATTTTCCGAAGCTTCCGGTTTAACTCTAAATCTAAATAAATGTGAAACACTTTCCATTAAATCTCAATTAAAAGGCACATTTTTCAACATTCCTATAAAAGATAAAGTTAAATATCTTGGAATCACAATAATTAAAGATATAAGATCAACAGAAAACTTTAACCCTATTATTAAACTGGTTAACAAAGATTTAATCTGTGGCTACAGTGAGATCTCTCTCTCTTAGGACGTTCATTATTGGTCAAAGCTGAAGGAATATCTAGACTCGTTTACCCAGCCTTTGCTCTTGACGTTCCAAAACAAATCATTACTAACATTAATAAAATAAATTTTAACTTCATATGGAAAAAGAAATGCCATCTCATTAAGAAAAGTAGTTTAATGAATAAAGTTGAAAAAGGTGGAATTGAAGCCCTTGACTTCATATCTTTAAATAATTCATTCAAAATGAAATATTTAAAAAATCTCTATATGGAATGCTATTCCAATTTACAACTTCAATAAAATTGGAGGTTTACCTTTTCTTCTTAGATGTAATTACAGTATTCCCAAAATACCCTTAAAATTATCTACGTTTCATAAACAAATGCTGTTAAGCTGGACACTTTTGTACAAACACAATTTCTCTCCCCATAAATATTATATATGGAATAATGAAGACATTAAATACAAAAATAAGACAATATTCTATAAAAATGGTTTGATAAGGGAATATTTCTTGTAAGCCAGTTACTAAATCCAGACGGCCATTTATTGTCTTATTCTGACTTTATGTTACTTTTCCAATTTCCTGTTACTCCTAAGGAATATGCAGTGGTATTTGACGCAATCCCTAATGCAGTGCTTCTGCATTAGGGGATGCAGAAGCACTCCCCACTATTTGAGAAGCACTGCCCTACCTCCAGGTCAAACTAACTCTATACCAAATTTTGATCCAAATTCCATTTATATTGACTATGATTGTCCTTTTATAAGTAAGAAAGCAAACAACAAAATGTTAAGAAATATTCTATTAAGAGATATGGTTTTTTCACCAGCTTGTGTATTTTATTGGTCCAGAATTTTCAAAAATATATTGGAAATGGACTTGGTTGCTCCCTAAAAATACTTAATAAATAATAAAATAAAATAAATTTCTTATAAAATAATTCATAGTGTGTATCCCAGTAAAACATTTTTGATAAAAAGATATAAATGGGATTTGGATCCTATGTGTACTTTCTGTAAAAATAATGAAGAAACTCTTGTTCATCTTTTTTGGGATTTTAATTACACCAAAATATTCTGGAGAGATATGACAAATTATTTTCATCAAAAAAATGTAAACATTACTTTTACAGCTAAGGATATACTGTTTGGGATGGACAAATGTAAACTTGTTAAAACAAAATTATTATACGTTGTTAACTTTTTTATTATTAACGGTAAATATCATATTCATACCTCCAAATATTCAGAGCACAAACCTAACCTTAAGATTTTATTATCCTCTATTAATATTTAAATAGAATCTTTAAAAATTAGCTCAAATGCCAAAGCCATTCAAATCATAGATGCCCTTAAGAAAATAAAACCCTGGAGCAGCGATTGGATGTTAATATTGTAAAACAATTGTTCTATAAAGCCCTTTATTGTTGTAAATGTACCTGTTTGTAATTAAGATATGTTGTTTATGTTTGTTCTGTTTTTGCAATAAAAATAAAAACTCATCTCCCGCTGAAGAGGATCCATCAAGAGATTTCAGAAAATCACACGAGATTTTAAGGCTTTACCTTGTTGGGTTTTTTCAAGAGCAGAGAGGAGATTCCTGGTGCATCTACTTAATCTGAAGAAGGTAAGAGTC